AAGAAAAAAATCCTGAGCTGTAGGAATGCAGTATTTGGTGATCTGTGATCACTTCTTTTCCAATTCCAGTCTATGGGAGCCAGGGCTTTTGGAGCCAGCAACTAGCGGACGTAGTGATATTGCAGGTTTTTGACACTTCCAGGTTGGCTTCATTTTTAGGAGCCGCTTGCTACGTCCATCTTTTATACAGTCTATGGTTGAAACATCTCTAAGAACCAAAAATAAGTCAATTTGCCTTCTACTGAAGCACTTAGGATTATATCTAATTGCACAGTTTTTTTTGTTCTTGTTCTATTTTACTGAAGCAGTAATATTAATTGTCACTCGGTTCTTTTTAATAACTTCCCTTGTGTGGATTTTTCATCATGCAGTCTAAGTGTTCAGGGACACAGTCTTGAAGGAGTTTTAGGAAAGTCTCACGGATGTTGCAGGAAAACATGTCGCAAAGCAGCTCTGCCTCCTGGTCTCAACTCTGCATCGTCATGCTTTGGGATTTCTAATAAATTTGTTCTACACATGAAAGCTGCATTATCCCAGGTGGGATGAATGCCTTCTCTCCTATTCACACCAGTTTCATTTGCAGAAAGTTTTCCAGCGCTACAGGATACCATAAGTATGGTTTTGCCAAAGGCTTCTTTTGGGGTTATTTTTTCTTCCTCTCGTCATCAAACGTGGCTCAAAGGGAATTGTTGGCTTTCTCTATATAAAATAATATAGTAAGGTAACTTTCTATGTTAGGTGCCCTGAGATGACTCATGTTAGGAAATGTCTCTATATTAATAAGATTAAATTAAATGTAAATAATCAGGACACAAATTATACTCTTTTATTTCTATATATAAAAAAAAAAAGAAAAAGAAAAGCAGAGCAATTTTCTAAAACATGAGCATTGTAGGTTTTATTAAGTGTACTCAGATAGGAGTAAATCATTTATTTTCAGCTGTGGTTTGATCCTCATTTGGTGCTCTAACGAGTATCTGACATGTATGAATTAAGGACAGTGAATTCAAGAAATGTGTGTCTGAGACTGAAGCTGGCTCAGTCGGCTGACTTCCTGT